GTAGTATTAAAAACAATAAATCACTAATAGGGATAAAATGCATTTGAAATGCAACTATATAGAGTGGTCCAAATACCAATGGTGTGTAACTAGGACGCAAATTAATTTAAAATCTATTTAAAAAGTAGATAAATTTGTATCTGATAGCACAACAGCGCGTTGATAATATAATAGTAAAGGATTATTCTGATTAATTAAAAAATGTTTAAATTATTGATACTCTTAATTATAGATAGGCAATAGGTACATTAACTTTCAAACACATTACTATACAAACACAATTATACTGACATAAATAAATAAATAAATATAACTTTACTATTACCAATATGAGGTACCTAATGAATAAAAGAAAACAATGTATCTATAACAATAGTATCTTCTCAACTAGTCAAGATAGTAAGAATTCAAAATGAATATTAATTCTAGTTCTAATATAGTAATAAATGCAATTTATTATGTTCTATAGGTGCTTAAAATGTTTTATTTTTTAACGTATATTATGATAGATACTAGAGACCAATAGGTACCAAAACTATTTAAATAAATAAATAACCAAATTGATAAAATACATTTAAATATAAGGTAATGTTTTAAAATTTGATTTTGTTTTTGAATGTATTATGTCATCAATCAAAATATTATGTATTTAATTATGTTATTTGAACGATATTGATTAATTTTATTAACTATAGATTCACTATTTAACTTCATTAAACCTGTCTATACAATTAGGTATATGCCAATAATTAATAATCTAAAACCACTTAAATTATTTATTTTTACTTTTACATATTATTAACGGAGGAATTAATTGAAATTTTATGTTTTGTAGGTTTGTCCCGTAGTTGTTTATTGTCCAAGTGTCTATGGTTTGTTTGTGGTGTAACAAAGATATGTTTTTTATTTTAAAATATTTTTATATTTCTGGGCCCTAATCGAGCAATAATTGTGTAAGATTCAATTTTAATGTCTTGATAAAAAAAGTAGATTATAGGGAAACACATCAGCATGATTGATAAAATATATCTATTGGATTTGATAAATGACGACGTAAGTGTTCTCAGCTGAATAGTAAATATTGTCTATGGTTTATAGTTTATAGGGTGGTTTTTTCTTTCCATTTACTAACATGTATTGGTTTGTAATCGACTTTATAATATACAATGTATAACGTAATGTTTTTCTATCTAATCATCTATGTATATTGTATAGTATAGTATAGTATAGTATAGTCTATTATGTCTATGTCATATCAATTTAAATATTAAATTGTTTACGGAAAAAGAATTATTACAATGTGATGCTGAAGAGACTGAGATTTTTCTCTGGCGAGAAATTATTGGCCAAAGTATGATTAATGCATGTTTGTTGTAAATAAATAATACACATTCCATAAGAAAAAAAAAACTATTAAATTTGTACTATATTTTTTTTTTTAAATTTGAACAAATATTAAATGTTTTTTCGGTAATAATATTGAAATTATTTAAAATGTAATATTAAATAATTAACAATAAGTTATTTTAAAATAACTATAATTTTAACATTATCTCATTTTTCAATTGTTAAACTTGCATAATTTGCTGTTTGATTGCATATAATTTTAGATTCTGAGCGGAGCGATGAATGTATTGATTTTACCATGATGTGTGTTTTTATTTATTTATTTTTTTTTGTGTCTGTCATCACGTTTTGGGCAGTAAAAATGCTATAATAAAAAACAAACTAAAAATTAAGGGAAACACGGGAAATTTTACGCACACTCATTTTTCGACAAAATCGATTTTGGTTTTTGATGTAATTTTAATACAAATGACCATAGATACATGAAATTTTCACCAAATGTTTATATAAGTATATTCTATCCACTATGCAATTTTCAAAAATGTTCGACTTAAGTTGAACTATTCATAGGCATTTGAAATTTTCGATCATTATTAGTTTTTTTTTAAATTAATATTGATAAAAAATTATTTGTTCGGTAGAAAAGCTTGAAAATTTAATACAAGGATTCTAACACATTGYAACCATAACAGTTAAAAAATATTAAAAATACGTAGGCACGATTTTTTTTTATACGCATTTAAAGTTCAAATTTTTATTAAATATGTAAAAATTTCGGCAATGTTCAATGACCGCAGATACTTGAAATTTTCACTGAATGTTTATTTAGGCATTTTCTATATTTGATAAAATTTTCAAAATATTTAGATTTGTTTTGAGCTGTTTACTGACATTTTAATTTTTCAACTTTTTTAGTTTTTTTTTTCTATAAATATCGATAAAAATGTATTTTTTCGGTAGAAAAGCTTGAAAATTTAATACAAGGCTTTTAACACATTTTAACAATAGCAGTTTAAAAATAAAATAAATTCATTGTCACAATTTTTTTGACAAGGATTCAAAGTTTGAATTTTGACTAAATACGTAAAAATTACGGCAATGTTCAAATTATCTTAGATAGAAATTCATAAAAGTTTTCTTTTTAATTCTAAGATTTGAAAATTTAATACAGGCTCCTATAATATTTTTACAATAGCAATTGAAAAATAAAAGAAATGCGTAGTCACAATTTTTATTTACAAGCATTCAAATTTTGAATTTTGACAACATACGTAAAAATCATGAAAATTCGTAAATTATTTTAAGCTAGAAATTCATAAAAAATTTTCTTTTTAAATCTAAGATTTGAAAATTTTTAATAATCTATAATATATCCTAGACAGATAAACCGTCTTCGCTCAGAATCGTTTTTCGTATACAATTATATAATATCATTGGATTCAAATTTAATTCCATCCATTACAGTAACCCACTTGTAACCTAATGTACAGCAGAGCGACATCCACGACTTACCCGCCTTTTTTATTTACTATAATTAAATTTAAAAAAAATGATATTTTTGGCCTATTGCATGGTAAACTTTATAATTAGGTATACTGTTAAAATTTCATACAAAATGTTAAACACTAAGTACAATTTGGCTAATCTATTAATTTTAGTACATGAACTGTCAGTGTAATTTATGTAACTAGATTTTAATATAATTCCCTATAAATTATAACTGTTACTGATAAATGGTTTGTATATTATTTTTATTGTAATACTCTTTTATACGCTGTTCAACGAGAGAACGCGCCGCGGGTCCATGGCATTCTTGGTTTTTCTGCGCATCCTCACGTGGCACTTAGGCTTAAAGAAACTCGTTTTGACAGCGCGGTGACGTGGTGGATGCACAAAATTAGCGCGTTCTCTCACTGGGTAGAGTATAGAACTACTTAAAACAAACGATTGATGGTCTTATAGGTATATAATATATATATATATATATAATTTATATCATAATTTATGTTTATAGTTTATTTAATTTAATTATGATCTTTCCTTAAGCTAAAAGAATGATTTTTAAGAATCAAACCTTTGGATTCTAATTAAATTGAATTGAATATGAATTCTGGTTACTACCGATATAATACAGTCGTTTAATCCACTAATTGAAAATGGTAATTGATGGTGACTCTATACAAGATGATACCACATTAGAACCATTTTAATAGACTAATTAAAAATATTGATAATACCGCTTCTAATTTAAAAGTTAAAATATATTTTTGTCAACACAACGGCGTCTATTATATTAATGCAATACTACTTTGCAGCTGTTGTGTTGAGAAATAATGAATGATTTATAATATTTCGTTAACATATTTTCGTATTTGATGAAACTTAAATTATGATATATATTAATAATGATTATAAGAAAAGTAGCATTGATATAAATAAAATAAAATTTGGGTAATAAGGTTGTTTGCTGAGTGCTGACAATTAAATCACTATTTTTCATCGTTTAAGATTAGAGTATTATGCGTAAAAACTAAGATATTTTTCAAATTTTCTAAGGCAATTAAAGCAAAATAGATTTGTGTAGAATTGATGATACATTTATATTGTTGAATTTAAAAAATATTTTGAAATTTAATTTTTGAAATAACCAAATTTGTCATTAAATTTAATGAAACAATAAAATAGTAAACCTAAGAAGTGAACTTATTGTAATTAAAACTGTATTTTTTCTTATTTAAGGTGAATATTTCATCATTAATAATAATTGTAATTACCAATTCATTGATAATTACAGTGCTAAATGTTCAAAATATTACGTCTTATCTTATTATTATTACCTAATTTTATATATAATATAAGATTAAATAATTGTTTATTCGGTAGAACTGTCAAAAACTTTTGTTGCTTTTCTCACATTAAGTATAAAATTGTTATACTGAGAATAACATAAAATTGAATTTTTTAGTTAATCAAAATGTACAACACAAACAACACGTAATTATTATTTAATATTTATTGTTATAAAAAAACTAATATTATTTCAATAATGTATCGTTTAATTTAAATTTAAAATTCAAATTAAGTTTACCCGAATAATAACTGTATAAAACGGAATTGTACGATTTACCTAACAATTTATGATAATATCATAGTATAATATATGGGTATTTATGTTTAATTAAAATAACTGAATAGTATATGTTTATGTAGATAAAAATAGTAATATGTTTTGTCGTTTAATTCATAATCATTTTAATAAATTTAATACATATGTATTAAAATAATATATGATAACTATTATATATTATAATTAATATAAATAACCAATTTATCACAAAACTACAAGTTACAAGGTACCTATATCATTTTTACAAAGACATTTTTTTGATTTATAAGCATTTATATTATTTAAATGTACTGTATTATATGTTATATTGTGTTATATTTACCATAAATACCTACATACTTTATAAATATAAATCAGAAAGTCACGCAGAAAATTAATTATCCAATGATAATTATTTTGAAATTATAAATTTAAAGTTTAAATTATATCATATTTCTCAACACAATTTACGTTTTATAGCGGTCATTATATCATTATTCTTTAAAAAATATCTAACTTCCAAACTTATATATCATTTATCACATACCTGCTACTATCCATATGACGATTGAGTTTCCAACGATTGCAACGATTAACATAGCAATAAAAACAGAGGACCAGATAAATTTGTGCCACATGGAGATGGTATGCGATGGCTCTGGTAGAGGATAAACACAATCATGTAAGCGGTCTTTGGCGATTGTGCGTCTAGACATCGTCAAATCAGCTGCTTTTAACATAGTTCCCAATACTGCTAAAAGTGCGGTGGAGTTGTAGTGTTCCAGTTCTTTTGACGATTGATCAAATTCTGAAGATAAGACCATTGCTGTACAATTGCGCAAGGTATCATCATCTATATGACCTTCCATTGTGGAATGGTTCTGAAACAAATTTGGACGCGTACTTTAAACCTTGAAATATATTATTAGTACATGCGTATTATTTTTATATTTTTTGGAACTTAATAAAAATATATATTAAGTACGTTGGTCATAATTCATGAATTATTCAAGAACCCTGCAATTTAAGATGGTATTTAATTTAGTGTAATTTTGTTAATAAGTAAGATGGAAATCACAACTAGGTACATATTTTGTTTCTGAGAATTTAAATAAAAATATAATTGTCTATAATATTCATACAAATAAAAAGTGTTTTAGTAATATTTTAAGTTGATTTATTATTATTACATATTAAACGTTTTCTGGTAAGTAAATAAGTAATTTATAACTTATAAGTCATAAGTCATTATTATTTATGATTTATGTGTATTTTCGTTTATATGCGTAGTTAAATTATATTTTTAATATTTTTATTGCAAGCAAATTTCAGTTGTAAATTATTTGTGATCTGATTTYTTTCTTATAGGTAGTTGTTGCGATATTAAATAAATAAATACACATATTTATTGAAGCATTGTCCATTGAACTGTACAGTTCTGAAGAGTGATGTAATCACGTGGTAATTGTTTCACCTATCTCTTCACATTATATTGTTTAATATATGTGTTACTATGCGGTACTTTATGAAAAGTATTCATCATATAAATGGTCTACAAATAGCGAATAATAAAAACGAAAAAGTGTAACACCATTAAAACTAAGACAGTACGTTGGTCAATTTAAGCATCAAATGTATTTATGTTTTTGTACAACACCATAAATTAGAGCGCCTCATACATTTATCTTATAGTTACATTATATCTATGCGAGAGTATTTTTTTTACATACATCATATTATACTATAATAACATATGCATATGCTTATTATATACATTGCGTCCATCTTATTTTTGTATAGGTATCTAATGACTGAAAATATATTATTTTTCTTAAATGTAAATTAAAAAGTAAAAATGTAAATTTCGACAGAAATCTTAATTAATTTCATATGTATTGCACAATTTGTTATACGCATACATACACAGCATAGATTACAACAAAAAATTATTTATATCTTAACCTCTTTCCTCTTTAGATAATCGTCACAATAAAATTATCATTTTTACATGATTCACTGTACTGTTTAAAATAACTAACAGGAACTCAGGTTCTGCATAAGTCACAAATTGTCCTATAAAAGTATAAAGTGCTGAAAATATTATCGTGATTTAGGCTTATGAAACGATTTCTATAGTTTACTAATCACTGTTTATAATATTGAGAATTATTATCATACTGCCGTGCCATATAGGTACTCCGTTGACACTACGCGCATTTACATGATTTTTCGAAAATTGTTCACGTATATACTTGTAACTGTATACAGGCACATTGATATATCGTTGAACGACAATAAATTACTAGTATATATGGTAATTTTAAAACCACTGTTAAGCTGTTAGCAGTAAATACATATTATAATATCGAGCGACTAGAATATCTGCCATCTATTGTGGTTGTTGTTATATAAATTATATTTAATCCAAATGGCGCTTTGTCGTGTATTATAGACTATACCATTGACCATTGAGAATGTGTCGGTTCATGGATGATATTTATATTGTTATCAATTTATCATATTATCATATATAAATATATACTATACTCGTATAATATATATATATATATATATTTGTGTCCATATTTATATTTAGTGTACTTAAACCATTCATGAAAAATAATATAAATTAGAAAATAAATATTTATCAACTAAAAATATATAAACTACATAGTACCTATATATTTGTATCGTAATTGGAAAATAATCAAATGTAAATATAATRCATATCCTTGCAAAACAATGTCTACATAATAAAAGAGAAAACACTGAACAATATACTGTCAAATTATGCTCACGAGGGTATAAAATAAGTATAATATTGTAAAAATCGTTCCACTTGACTAATTTCCATGTACCTATCCTTTACTATAATAATAACTAAAGAAATGTATAAGATGTTTTATTTATGTCATGTTCTATACAGGTTTAAAAATCAAAATAGCAGTTACATTTTGTTATTAAAATTGGGAAAATAAAACTGTATAACTTATGATAGTATGACGTATACCTATTATCGTATTTTCATTACAGTATTTTATCGATTTTTAAAATAATTTAATATTTTTATGTTAATATCAGTAGTAGGTATTTAAGTATCAATGGTAAGTATCATATACAAAAAAATCTAAAACTAATACCATTGATTATAAATAGTATTTATAATCAATGCTAATACAAATAGTTATTGTTATTTGCAAAATCGATTATTTATTTATCTATTTTTATTCGTAGGTCAAAGATGATTTTGCACGTATCAAAAATATAAAATATGACAGAATAGAAATATTGTATTGAAAACATGGTTTTCTTATGAACATTAGAACATTCTAAGAATTATAAGTTAATAATAATTTTTTTATAGAATAAATAGCTCTTTATGAACTTGACAGTCTAAAAACGGTTCTAAATCATGCAATTTCTGGTATAAATAATATACATTTACAGTTGATACCAATAGTTAAAAATTGTTTACGTGAATTCGTTATTCATGTAAATATGATTCTAATGATTTCGCATTTTTTTTTTWAAAGTTTATTAAAGCTTCAACAACACAGGTTTTTAGCCTACTTTAATCAAAATTTATACAAGAAAAAGAAAGGAAAATATATATACATATGTGTAAATTTTGGAATACATTTTGCTACATTTTGATACATTATTATAGTTATTATTTACAGATTTCGGATTTATTAATTCACGGGTTCACGTTCACGATATACATGTTTTGTTTTGATGCATTCAAGTGTTCTCGATATCTATGTACACGCACATTTGTATTCGTTTAATAAGGTAAGACATATTTAATTTTTTGTTCCTTTCTTGGTTATCGAAATTATGTAAAATGTAGATTATTCGCGATCGGCCGCCGACGTGGAGATCCAGCATAGGCCGCCGGAGTGCCGTAATCCGTTAATTACCGTTAACGCGGAATCATTGTAAATCACCGTTCCTTCTTACATTATGCGTTGAAGGCGCAAATCACCTTTGTAATATAAAATTATATTGTTTTTATATTATGTTGTAATCTGGCTGGAATAGCTGGAGACCATCAATGTTTTTTTTGTAATAGAATATTATATTGTTAACGCCGTTCTAATAGCCGTTTATACATATTTTATTATTTGTTGATATATACCACGCCGTTAATTTTTGTGTTATTTCAAACATTGTTACATTATAATATTGTCAGATTGCGATCGTAATTTATTTAAACCGTATTTGTATTGTTATATTATTGTTGTTAACCCATAAGGCCTATATTTAGTTATTGCTATATAAATTATTGTCTGGCTCGAATAGCCAGTGATTTTATATTATTATTTCATGTAAATCGTGTTAACTTATTATTGTTGTATGTCCATTATCAAACTATACAGGCACAGGAGATAGCAGCTGGCCAGCATSTAGTGCACCGACTAAGTTGTGAGTTTTGTACACATTATTTATATTATTATGTCTTTATTCTGTTGGGCCAGCAGGGCCATTTAATATTATGTATTATAAAATTTATTAAATGTGTGGATTATACAGCAATTCAACGTAAACCTTTTACCATCTACTTAATTTGAGTTACATGTCCAATATTTTTTAAGCATACACGCCCACACATATACACACCTCACACATAATTACAGTACATAGCTCACTAGTATTTGCGTGGCAAACCCAACCAATTCTAGCTGGGCTATAACACCACTACACATATAACACAGGTTGGTCGGTGTGTACAGAATACAGACTACAGTGCGTTCGAAGTATTTTGGTGACCGGGCGTCACAGCCTATATAATTGTTCATACCCGGCCCGTATAACTTTATATTATTTTTTTTACAAAAGATCTAATAATACCATTATTAGTAGTAAATGTAATGATATTATAAKCTTATGAAATAGGTACGTAACTCAATTTATATTATAAGACATAATAATACATAATTTGAAAATTATTTCAACCAATAAAATTATTTTATATTAAGCAATCCTCGACATTACAAGCAACATGATCAGTAATAAAATAATTTRATTCAGCTGACCATCACGCTATAAATACAGTAGTACTTGATATTCTCAAACTAAAATACAATAAAATTATTTAAATAAAAATTATCAACACACAATATCCAACAAAATCATTGRTCGCACTAAAACACAAAATTACGATAAATAAAAAAAAAACATAAATACATGGCAACAATTCAAAACATCTAGAAGAATAAAAAATATTATAGCGGCTGAAAGTTGGCCTCACCAACTTACACATAGGAATCTTGTTTATAAAACTAACGAAAAATAGAATGCACATCATGTGGAGTTGTATTTATGGTAAGACATATAAATGCAGAATACAGATCCAATGAAAAAGAAATAAAAGAACACAAAATATCAGAGAGCTTATTAAAATTTATATTTATTATTATTTATAATGTTATGTAAAATAGCATTACATGAAAAGCTAATAAAGTCTGTTGTTGAAAAATATGATTAATATAAAATACATAGATATCTTTACTATCTGTATTCTGTATACAAACGAAGTCCTGCATAACTGATTTATAGTCCACACACAGCCTAAAACATGATAGCTAGTGTTTTACGATTTTTGGAGTATATTTTTATTATTGTCTAGGTATGCAATAACGTCACAATAATAAAAGATTTAATTAATTTTGATTTTAAATGATAGAAATKTGTATGCAAAATAATTTTGCATGGTAYAAATATATGCAATATAATATGTACATTTAATATGTAATATATAAATATAAATGTCTAATTAACAAGATACAGTTTACTTTAATATTCCTAGGTACTATTATAATGTTTAAATATAATTTGAAACAATCTAATACAAAAGCATCAGTCATTAATAGAT